GGAATTCAATGATTTTCGATTAATAGATTTACAATTAAATCGTGTACGAGTGTAGCTTAAAACAACTAAATTAAGATACTTGATTTTTCATACTTCATTTTTATATAGGTAGGTACATGTAGATTTTAGAAGTCAATAGTATTATTATGTACAACAATGTATGAAACAAATATTCTTTTAGTTGCACAGAACAAAAAAGATAATATTACTATACATTATCATTTTAACGTTGAAAACGAAGCGTCCAAACCAGCGAAAAGAGGTAAAAAAAGAAAAAAATTAATATTGAAATTTCACACTTCTTAAGAACTGTATTTGATATTATTATGTCGGCAAGTTATTTCATCATGTGTATGATTATTAGTTGAATTATTGCAACTAATTTTTTTTAATATGCTGCCTTAAAACACAACGAGGAGCTCAGTACAAACGTTTGTACAATTGGTTTTAACTTACAAATCTACGATTAATAATTTAAAATTACAGGTTAAATAATATATTATACAACTCGAAAATTAGTGTTAAGTACAATGATCCACAAGGTAGCATTCTCGCGCCTACCCTTTATAATCTATTTACTGCCGACATACCTCATTCAAACATCACTAACTTAGCCACTTTTGCAGATGACACCTGCATAACTTCTTCCGACCCAGATATTAATTCAGCCATTAATAAACTGCAAATGCATCTTAACGAGCTAGAAACCTGGTTTAATCAGTGGAAAATTAAAGTAAATGAAAATAAATCATCACATATTACATTCACTTTAGGACTCAAAGTTAGTCCTCCATTAACTCTTAACAATAATATAATCCCAATAGAAAACTCTGTTAAATACTTAGGCATTCATCTTGACAAGCGATTAACCTGGGCTACTCACATCAAAACTAAAAAACTATCTCTTAAATTAAAACTCCATAGCTTAAGACATCTTCTCCGTTCAAACATTTCTCTTAATAATAAAATCCTCCTATACAAACAACTTATTCGTCCTGCAATGACCTACGGCATCCAAATTTGGGGATCGACAAAAACCTCAAATCTAAATTTATTTCAATCATTTCAATCAATTAACCTCCGTCTCCTAACTAACTCGCCTTGGTATGTAAGTAATCGTACACTCCATCACGACCTCAGTATTCCTACGATTCCTGTTCTTGCATCCACTCATTATAAAAAATTCCACTCTACCACTATAAATCACCCGAATCCACTGATATCCAATATTTCTTCTCTTACTCTTCCAAACAATCCTCCTCGTCGATTAAAACGAAATTGGTCTCGCGACCTTCTCAATAACTAAAAAAAAAAACAATCAACAAATTTTTTAAGGAATTCAAAACAATTATAATTATGTAATTAAATCTAGTTGAAGTAGTGTTACTGGACACCCTCTTCTTTCACGTTGTCCTGTCATTGTATCATATTTTTTTTTCAAATTTACTTATTGTAACTAATATTACAGATTGTAAATATATTTTTTATAAATAAAAAAAAAAAAAAAAAAAAAAAAAAAAAAAAGTACAATGATATGGCGAAATAAAAAACGTTACATGAACATCTCGAACATAGTTTGACTTGGACTAATGGTGTGCTATTTTCGATACCAGCATTTATTTGGGCGTAGTTACACCTCCTCTGGGTACGCCAAAAAGTTCAAACTTAATATTTATTTTTTTGTAAGTACACTATAATAATAGCTCGTCCTGTTCGTGTTATCGAATAAAATAATATTTGATTCTCCAAAGTCATTAATTCCAGACCTGCTTTGTTCTCGAGGCTTACTTGAATTTCCTATTTACTTCTAATGCGTTTGGGTGTGGTTGCAAACATGAAAAAAACTTTTTTTTGGTTATGACCTGACGGTCTGTAGTTTATACGCTGTACAATAATAATGCGAATATAACACTTTGGTAATAGCCGTAGTGTAAGAAGTAAGAAAAAAGAGAAAAGTAAACATCGGTGTGTTGTACACATAACAGGGCCAATGGATAACGACATTGACGTTGGCTAATTTTTATTGTTTTACTACAGCCTGAGCCCAGCTGTCACACGTGTGGGGTAATATACTTTGTCGAGTGTTTGAGATCGTTACTTCTGATTTGATTATTCTACAAAGTCAAGTAAAACAATAACTAAAAAAATAAACACAGTAGGTATTTAGTCGTTGGGCACGTTCGGGTAAATACAGGGTGGTCATTTTATCGTGAACCACTCAATATCTCATTTAATAAGAAATAACATTTTTTTTTTCATAATGATTTTATGCAATTTGATCTCAATTTTTTACAATTTGTTTTTCGAAATGTGGAAAATTGAGATCAAAGTATAAAAACATTATGAAAAAAAAAAATACATATCTTATTAAACCCTATGAGATTTCAAAATGATCACTCTGTATTGGTATCAATGATTCCGTCAGCCGACTTTTTGACTACGGTTTTTTATATAATGTTATGTTAATTGTTATTTATGAACGAAGGTACATTTATACTTGACTTTCAAAAACGGTCGTTGGCCTTAGAAGATTGTTAAAATGTCGTCAAACTCAGTGGGCATGCTGTAATATTATACTATACTGATTAGGAGGTGTCAAGGCTTTAATTATTTGTAATTGTTTAAGTAGCGTTTCGATGCTGGGCTACTAAGTCGTTTTAAATTAGATCGGACACTGTATTAGGGAGACGCCTGCATATCCCCAGCGTGTACAGCATTGTGATACTATTTAAAAAATAATTAATTTTATCACTACATACACGAGCTACTGCACGCGCCGCTGCGGTCTGTCATGTTTTTTAGAGATTTTTTTATTGTTTTGTTTCGGTTACTAGGTGTCGCCAAGATCACACTATGCTGGAACACATCTATCAGCTGTTACTCTTGTTTACTTATGTCTACGCAGGTCCGTTCTCTAGTGGGACAGAGTACACAGTGCACGTGCTGCCTGTGAAAATCAGTCTTGTGTGTCATACATAATATGTAAATGCGTCACGTTTTACCGTAGACAAAGCAAAACAAAAACAGTACCGACCCCAAAGATATTATTGTATAGGTTAGGTATATAACACGGTCCGTGATCAGTATATGCGTGGCAGAGAAATCTTAAAAAAAATAAATAAAAATAACCTAAGCATTATCACGAAAATACCGACTGGACAATAATAATAATTATCATCGGCGACGTTAATGAGCCGAAAAAAGGGAGAGCAGCAGCCCATCGAAACGGTCATTTGATCGCGTTTCGTATAATGAGCAGTTAATGTCATTCCGGTACGTTTTAAATTCCTTTTGTAACTGACATAAAAAAAGAAAAAACTAAAGCACCGAAACCGAACGAGAAACTTTAAATGGTCTGTACACTGTACAGCCTGAAAGTAAATTCTTAAATACGGTGCACATTATGTGTAACGAATAACAATTATTGTCAATTGAAGGTGCTGGTCGAAAAACGTGCCAACAACCGATCCGGAAGGTTTACAATATTAAAAAGCAAATACAATTTCGGTTTTTTAGGTTTAACAGCACGTTATTCCGACCGAACCTTTAATTATTGTGTTTATGTTAAATTAGTTTTACCAATAATAGATTGTTGTAATCCTTACAACAGCCTTACAAAAATATATAGACAGATTCAGTTACAATACTACATCCGTCCTCATTTCTTTTTCCAAGTACTCATCACACTTTCCTTGTCTTCATTTATAACATGCATTCACTTATTATTAGGATTTCGATTTACATCTTAATCTTAACTATCGCCCATCTTAATCTCTATTAACCGTTACATTTCTTTTTGTCTGTATGTCTAAATCGTTTCAATATATTTGCTTTCGTTTTCCATATTACTTTATTGTACATATTATGTCGTTCCATGTGTAGACAAAACGATTTATAAAATTTCTGACTTTGTCTTTTTTTTTGGTTGATCAGAAAATTAGACATAAAAAACAAACTGTGAAAACTAGACCTATATAAATTTTTTTTTGAACAAGAAGATTACGTGCCCATCACTTTTAAACTGGTCGTGCAAAAAAAAATGTTTTTTTTTCTTTCTAACACCATTATTTAAATTTTACAAACGATAAACAAATTGAACAAAACAAAGGCACAAGGTCAAACACCTAGTCGATTATAAATGAAATGACCATAATATACTAATTTTTAATTCTCTCTAATATTATTATTATTCTGCTACTACTTTTAATTTTCTTTCATTTCTCTCAACCCTCACAATCATACATCATTGTTGCCCATATTACAGTTTTTTTACAATTTTGCTTTTACATTTAATACTAAATATACTCGTTCTGTCAAACGACATAGTCTTTTTTTACTTGACCCAATCACACTTTATTTTACTCGCCACATATTTAATTAACTTACTCACTTGTATAATTAATATGAAATACTGTTTTTTCTCTATAATATGCTGATTATGTATTTCAGCCCATAACTGTATGACTTAAATTTTGTTCGTTTTTTACTTATAATAAGATTATTATAAATTCATGCTCATTAATAAAACCTGTATCCTCTCCAATAATTATGTAATTTCCAATTTAAAATGCATTGCGGTTCATCGACGAATCTTTCTTGCGCTAAACAGAGAAATCAAAAAGACTTTCAACATAAATATTATGTTCAATATTTACAATGAGGTTGTTAAAATTTGCGAAATTATTATAAATAAATTATGCGTTTTGCAACTAAAGGCGGTACCGTTTATGGTTTGGCTTGTGCATAGTTATGTAAGATAATAAGTGCCTACTATCCCACCAAGCGGATAATATATTTAAAATTCGAAATGTTCAAGACTGTAATTGTTCAATTAGACACGTCTTGAATATCATATATTTTCTTTATTACATTATTATACATGCCATGATGACACATGGTAAAAAACCGTCTCTTGTTTGTTACCGAAAGTAGTTAACCCGTCGAGTGTATGTTTTGAAAAAAACACAATTACAATTTTTGTTTTTGATTTTTGTTTGCAGACATTGTAGTGTACTTGCAAACGGTATTGGCCGGCGAAAAGCTGTCGGAAAAAGCCGAAGTCCAACGCATTCGACTGCTGGCAAAACTTGTCAACAGAGAACAGTCGCCGACCCGGACTTCTTACATGGAGATGAACACCGGACGTTCCAAAAGTATGTGAAAGATCATCAAAAATCCACACACAGATAAAGGAAACGTATTCTGTAGGAATAATATCTGTAGTAAAAAATATATATATATATACAGTCGGACTTTCACTCGGTCTGACAAACGCTTCTGTCTGTGTGTTGGTTTTACCAACCAACATTTGTATAGATACCGAGAAAACCGTTAAACGTGCTTAGATTGTACAAACACGCTTACACACTCAGCCTTTATTATTATTGTCTATACAATAATCATATATAGTATTGTCTTCTCGTTCATTTTTAATAGCATACGTTTCAAGGTAATAACAATATCATATTCACATTATACTCACTGTCATCTATACACGCTCTCCCAGTGCTGTCACATTAAGTCTCTAGTAGAATAGTTAATAATAAATGATAATTTATGTATAATAATATTATTTCTATTTAGCACGTGCAAACCAAACTCGTTTTAACGTATTGGCTTAATAACCATAGACTATGATGTTTTATGCTGAGCTAGGTGTTTCTTATTTGATTAATATTATATTAATCATTGGCTCAGTTATATATTTTAACTAAAAAAAAAAATTGTTTTAAGTACTTAATACGGGCTATTAAGTGGAAAAAAATATTTTATAAAACTTTTTGATGCAAATATGTAGATATAGTAATGATTGAAATATCGATAAAAATCATTCTTAATAATAATGTGCTTTAAATTGTATTCGTTGATCTATATAGGGTTATAACAATTTGGGTTCAAGTGATTTATGGATAGGGAATGCACAATAAATGTTCTAAAAGTTTGCCATTTACTGATTGTGACCTCTTCTTATTAGGTAATTTATCGACCAATTTGAATTAAGTTTGTTTTTGTCGTGGATGTGAAAGGTACGATCTGTCGCAAAAGGAAATAGTATGGTTTTTGGCAAAAACAGCCATGCTCGCTTTCTGTCATCCTTTGGTTACATTATGTTAATATTCTGTTACACTCTTAGTGAAAATTCATAATGTTCTCACGGTTTTAACAGTTATGCAACTCAATTGATTAATTATGGTTATTAGTAAACTAAAAAGGCCAGTGAAGTGGGAAAGAAGCATATTGAGGTAGGGGGGAGGTCACAGGTGAATATGAATTATTACAATTGGAAGTGGACTAAATCACTTTCTAATAAACGCTTCAAAGCGAATCTGTATTGGTAGAAATGACACCTAATGACAATTAATTAGTTAAAAATGGATCTTTAGTATTAGGGTGGATACGATTAGGGTAGATCGTCCGTCTATATATTTTTTGGTTTGTCAACGGTCAACGGTAGTGCTTTGTCTAAAGAATATTCCAGCGCCGTAATTTTAAGTTAAAAAAGTATGTATTTTTTTTCTCGATTTTGAATGGAAAGGGCTGAATTTTTTACATTTTCAGCTACTCGTCGAAGCTAAAAATTAGTAAACGCATGGTATTAAATACCTATTGACCCGGTTGCCGGTTACAATACTTGTTTGCTCTCATATAAAGCGTGTGAAACGAAACGCCAGCACTAACCTCGTTTTACTATATTGTTCAACAGGTACGATAATCAAGTCGAACAGCTTCGCCTGTCTTCATCAGCAAGCCGCGTACGAGGAATTGTGTTCGGACGACCAACCGATATACAACAACGTGCCCTACGAGGAGTACGACATGCTGGACAACTACGAGCCGTTTGGCCTGCCCGTCTGTGCGAACGGACACACCGGAAGGGGGTCGACAGGCGGCAGGCAGTTCGAGAAAAACGCCAAACGGTATAGCGGCGAATCGACCAACGGCGACGACTCTTCCCTGGGGTCGTCGCGGTGCACCCTCAGCAAGTCGGTCAGTCTGAGCAGCAGATCTAACAGCGACTCTTCGGAGAGCTCCAAGAGCGACGTGATCTTCGTGTCGGCCAACGCCGTCAAGTATTCCGCCAGCAAGTACGGTCAGCTGATGAAACGAGACAAGATCCTGTTTGTCGACCACACGAAAAAATTCTGGGCCGCCGTGCTGGCTTCCACCATGTACGTGTACCACGGCGAAAAAGAGGTCAAACCCTGTCTGGTCATCCATCTGGAAGGGTACACGGCGAGGGACGCCAACGCCGGGGGACCGGGCTCCAACAAAAAGGACTGGGCCTTGGAACTGGTTTGCCCGGGAAAAAAGACTTATCAAGTATGCAAAGGAACTGAGTAAAACACTAGGTGTACGCGGCGGTCTACGAGAGAACGCACATGCGCAGAAATTATAACGCGTTACTATTGTCTGTGCAAGCGCATACGGCAGTAACGCGTTTTGGTTACTGCGCAGGTTCGTTCTCTCGAGGGGCGCCGCATAGTATAGACACCGTGCATCGTACGTAGCGCAGCGCCCCCTTGTGGTTAATGCACTTACTTTTAGTAGGATACATATTATTATATAATATTTAAGCAACATTGGTAAAAATAATGGTTTTATCCAATTTTTACACATAAATCATATTGATTAGTAAAACCAAATTATGCTACAAACAATTTTCAAAGTTACAATAAAGTGAATTTCAAATTTTCTTTTATGATACTTATACCTTGCGCTGTTATCTACTGCACGGTGTCTATAGTATGACCGGACAAAACTAACATTTCTAGCCAGAAAATAAATTATTATCTATTAAAACATTTTTATGATATTCAGAATTATTTTTTTAAAATATTTTAACTTTTTATGCCAACCAAGTTATGATGGTGTCATCCCATGTGGTAATATTTTATCCTACAACATGTATATTTCTTATTATTATGTATGTACATACTACATTGCAGTACGTTTATAAGTATTTCTAAAATATAAAATAAAATAGAGTGATATTCTAAACCGGATTGCATTTAGGTTTACTAAGATTTTAACGAGTTATAAAAAGCTTAAATTTTAAATGTTTTTATTAGGCATAAAATCTTGGTTTCAATTTTAAATATTTTACCATCGGATTATTGCATAATGAATTTGATGAACTTCTATAGGGCAATACAAACTGTAAAAATATAATTTTATTGCTAGGTTAACTGTAAGTAAAATATGACATTTTAGCATTTTTGTTTAACTGCAACTATCATTGGACTATTCAACTATCCTAACGATTTAAAATTGCATATCATATGTTAGCTAACGATAACCTTATGTACCTTACTATGAACAATTACTTTGTTGTCGTATGTAATACGTTATTATGTGTTGTAAATTGGAATCAACTATGGTTTTATCGATATTCAAAAAAGACCGGAAAAAGCGCTTGTATAATTTTTCAATTGTTCCATGTTTTTATTGCTTTTTGCTCGTTTGACAGCTGTTCTATAACCTACCTAATACCTAATAACTAGTAGGTGTCCGACGAATTTCATTTCATATCGATATAATATTTGTGTTCTGTTTTTTGTCGTTATAGTTCATAGCTCAAAGCCAAAAAGATTTGCAGTCATGGATCGAAGCGATCAACAGTTCTGGCACAACTACCAATAAGTTGTCCACCCCCGCTGATCCTTTGACTCATCCGCCGTCGCCGATATGCTTCAAACACGAACAAGTACTGTTACCCAACCGGCAGCTTCCGGTTCCGCCTACGGAAATCACCCCGGAACCCCAAGACTATTGTTACGACAAACCCAATCCTATTGTCAGGCCCGTCCACGTGTACGCGAATTCTGCAGGCACCGACGAGGTCGACATGGAATCCATTTACCAGCTGATCGACGAGTCCGAACAGAATAAAGCCACCGACCCAACGCCCGAAGTCTCAATTGTATGTATTCATACACTTTGTCTCACGAGAGAACGGTACTGCGCACAAACCAAAACGCAGCATCGTTTCTGCGCCGTGTACCGTTCTGCCGTGAGACAGACCGTTGTACCACAGATTAGGTAAAACCGGATAGTGTGCATTCGTCTCTATTAAAGCATACTGTAAATGAAGGGTTTCGTGCAACCACCAGATAAGTCTAAATTTAAAAATTGTTCAGGACTTTTGAAAAGAAAATTCTTTATCACATTTACTACAATTGGCGGGAAAAAATCGTTTAGTATTATCTTAAAAAGTATTATTCCGATTTTACTATTTGTTTCCCTAAAATGTAGATAGTTTTTCCATAAACATTTGTCCATTAAAAAACAATTTTTGACAAGAATGGACTAAGTTGTCACACAGAGCCCTTCAATTGCTCAACATTTAAACAAACCAAAACCCCCTCGACTCATTGGTAGGAAAAACAAACATGTATGTATATATATATATATATATATATATATATATAATAAACTAGATTGCTACTAGTGATAAAAATGAAAGTCGACGTCGGCCATTTTTGTGGGATTTATGTGTATGTATAAAATAGTATATATATATATGAATCTATGCTATCAGCTTAACTTGTAATATTGTTATTATCAGTGATAACAGTTATAAACATGTGATAAGGTTCTAATTCCCACAAAGATGTTGGAAAATGGTGACTTCAATATTATCTCTATTAGCGGTATGTACACTTAGCAATCTAGTTTATATATATATGATTATAGTAAATTATTTTGTACAATAACTTAATTTCTAGAATACGGTCACACTAAGTAGATGGGAGGGTTTCAGTTATCAGTAAATGACGAACTTCAGCATCCGGTTTTATTTTATCTGAAATCTGTCGAATGTGAATTGTGATATTATAATATCTAATAAAATATGTACTTATCCAACTCCTTGTTTTTTCACACAGACTGTTAACGTTGAACCGTGTAACGTCGTTGACGACTCTTACTATAATATTCCAAGCAATATACCGGTGCCCGTCGAACAAGAACAAAACAATAACATCTACGACGAATATTGTACCGAAAAAGAGATGTGCTACGATATCGTGACCAGTATGTATATGTTAATTGATTGCCATTGAACTATTTATTTTTACCCAGAATGATTTTGTGGTCTACCAATAACATCCTACTGGAAATGAGATCTCTGGTATTCATCTATCATTACACTTTGTTTTATGGTCGTATTTTCTACTCTAATGAAAATTAATGAATTTTTATTATCTCTTAATTTGGCGTCATGTCTCTGTTTTGTATACTAAACTCTCTAACATTTTTTTGTCGCTTAAAATGTATTAGTTTTTTTTATGAACCCCTTTCGGTAAAAAAAATAACAGTATGAATAAGAAGTCATATATTTAGCATCTTCTTCGAGATAAATTCATTATTTTACTCAATTAAAATATGTCGTTTCGAGTGACGACTTTAATTGTTTGAAATATTACCGAGTTGGGAATTTTTTATTCAAGTTAAAAGATAAAATTTAACTTGGTAAATAAGTAATAACCATTTTAATCATGACATAAGAGTTACATTTTTAACCATGATTAATTACAACAAAAAAAAACATTTCTAATAAAACTGATTAAAAATACCATTCATGATTGGAAAAATTAACCATGGAAAATAGTCACCTTAATTTAACCATTATTTTTCGTCAATCAACTTTTATTTAATAAAATAATAATTCAACTATTTAAATAATAATTTCCGATTCTACCGAGCGGCCATTGTAAACTTAACTTCATAATTTCGACTGTAATTATAGTTTAAAATAACTAATATTATATTGGTAATTTGGGGAGTATGAACAAATACTATAAACGATAATACCTGTGTTTCCCAAATCAAGAAATCGAAATAACATAATTCTGAAACGATGTTTACACTGAAAATTTAATTTTGATGTAGGCATATCGAATATAAATTATTGTCATACGTATATTATTATCAGTGTAATGGCTACACTGATTGTATCACAATATATGTCTACACTGATGTTTGAGGGAAGGGGGGAATCTGAGCCCTTAAAATGACCTAACCTTTTGGTATTATCAGTTGAAGATAACAATGGCAAATAAAGATTGGGCGGTTAAAATAATTTATAATTACATTACGATTTTAAAAAAAACGTGTGTTGACCAATATTTAATTGTTTTAGTTTCGGGAGAGTGCGGCGTGCCTACCGATCCGGTGTTGGGCGTTCAGCAGATCATCCAGAAAATGGAGGAGATTAACAGCAAAAACAGAACGTCTCCAGCGCTAAGGCGAAAATCGCCTCCGAAGAACAACAGTTTGCTGAGAAACTCGACTTGTGCCAATTCGTTTTACGAGCCTTCGACAATCACAAACAACATGACCACCACTGTAGTCGTCACACAAGCGTATAGGAAATCCCGTTGAAATGATTTGCGTACAACAAAAATTGCCACATTTTGACTTGCACCAACTATGCGCTTGGGTAATGACAACTACCACCACCGGTTCATCTTGTTCAACGACTGAGTTAAGTAAAGTGGGCCGTTGCTTTACCATAAGAAAACTACTGGCAGTGGCCGGCCGTTCATCATAAATCAACCAGAATCTGTGATTTCTATTGCAGTACCGGCCTCTGTTTTGTTGCTATATTATTATCCAAAATGTACAAAATACCGATAAAAAAAAAAAAAAACCGAAAAACGAAATGTTGAAAAAATAATATTTGTATAAAAAAAAAACTGCTCAAGTTAATATGCTTTTTTTTTTTTGTCTTTTTGTAATTATAATTATTATTCGATTAGACCTATATATTATATTGTAAAAATGTTATAATTATTGTTTTGTTGTTTGTAAAAGTCGTGTTACGCTTTGAAAATATCGTTTTCTGTGTTTTCGATTGAATGTAAATTTTTTTTTATGTATTGAAATCTGTACAATGTCAAACGCGCGTTTTCGTTTCTAGTCCATAGATTTTAAACATTTTTTTTTTTTTTTGGGGGGTATTTTTGTACATTTTAAGTTTGCTCATTTTTATTCGTTTTATTATTATTATTATTTAAACGCAACCTATTGATAACACAATTTACAAAAACGTTTTCATTGTTTCTCCAAGATCTCAAAACCAATCCGTTCCTCTGAAAATCACACTCATACGACGTATTCCATTCACTCATCAAACAAATAATTATTATATTCCAAAACAGCCGATCGTTTATTTTTATAATCCAAAGAAAACCTATCAAGTACTATTATGTTGTTATTAATATATAGAGCTGTACATCTCTATAGCTGAACAGGCAATACGACATTTAGGTTAATTATTGAAAAATTGACCAATTGCATTTATCTTTTTTCACATTAGCAGTGTTGAATTTTCGTTCAGTAAGCATTAAGTAACGTCCAAGTTAGATTAATTTTATTGTTATTATTCCATGAGCTCATACATGAAAAATGTAACCGCCCCTTTTTTCTTTATACATGTAGCTGTGTAAGTTTGTTTATTTTATCCAATAAAATATAATCGTCCTTTTAAAATTGTATTTTTAACGAGTTACAGTATATATACAAGTAAAAAAAAAAACCGTATGTAAATTACCTGCACATAATTGTTTTCTCATCTTTATATTTCATATAATCATTTGATGCATTTTTTTTTTATAAAAGAAAGGTAGTTTATTAGTTTGCACAAATGTGTTATGCTTTTCAACTACAGTGATAGAACTACTTTATTTGATTCAATATTCATTTATTACTTGTTAGTGAATTATTTGTAACGTATATATAATTTATGTATTTTTTAAAAATGTTGATAATTTTAAAAAAATACAGAAATTTAAAAATTGTATAGTAAAATATAGCAATTTTATTATAAAATATAGAATATTTATAATAATATATAGACATTTAAAAAAATACAGAAATTATATAGTTATACAGACATTTTATAAAAAATACATAATGTTCAAGCTCATACAAAATAATCTAAATATTAATTGACAAAGCCGATGTTTAATAAAACCACTATTTTCTTAAATATTGCATTTATAAAACTGATTATAAACCGTCAGCTTTCAATCCACATTTTGATTGTCATCAAAAAGTTGTATTTAATGAAACGTTTTAACATTTAGGATTTTTTATTAATAAAATATATAAGGGCTGAATTTGTCATTTGATATGTGCAAAATGTGTACTTTTTAGGAGTTATTTAAAAATATTAGAAACTATATAAAACTACACAAATTATAAAGAAATAGTCGATTCTTGTAGTAAAATGAGGTATTTGACATTACATAGCTTTTAAATGTCATGGACCAAGAACTATTACAATAAAATAATTGTTTTAGATAAAAAAACAAATCTTATTAGAGTATTTAACTTAATACAAATTAAAAGAAGTGTTTAATGTTAAAATAAAAATTTGTATTTTAAAGGACAGTTGTAGAGGGTAATTTTTTATATTTATAAGACAGTATCATACAGATTCAAATACATTACATGCTGATATTACGTACAAAGAAATGCTGATGAAGTGTACAAATTGTATTTTGAAATGTAACTAGCGATTAAAATAAAATGAATTAATTAAATTTTAATCTTACTTTCAAAGTCGTTAGCATTTTTTTTTTTTAATTGTTCAAGACTGTTAACCGAATTTACTGAAATCTATATCATTGGCCCAATACTCAACTCGATCATTTCACCAAGTGTCCAGTGTCCTTATAATTACTCGAATCCTCTGTCTTAGTGTCTTAGAATTGCTGTGAAATAATCAAATTTTCTTAGTAGATTGAAAATTGATTTTCTGTGCTGAAGATTTTTAAAATGTTTGATAATTCACTACATTATTATTTAATAATTTATTAAAAAATCCTAAAAATGCTAAACTTTTAGAATTGTACAGAAAAAAAAGTTCTAATAAATCATCAGACATTATTAAAAATGTATATATTTTAAAGAAAATAGTAAAACAACATAGTAAGTAGTAGTATGGTAAGTAATAAATAAGGTAGATCAAGTGTTAATTCACTCACACGTAGTAATCTGAAAATTGTCTACGGTCAATATTGTGTAATTTTCCCATTTTTTTGGGAGGGGGACTGGTTTTTTTGTACAGAAACACTTAAGATAAAAAAAACTATAAAAATATATATATTTTATGGTTTTTGTCAGTACACACGTTAGATCTTAAAAACGGATGAAAAGTGTTAAAATGGTTGGCCAGTTAATAATGAAATGACATTTATATTGATAATTGGGTCTTGATAACGTGAATCTGGTACCGTTGCTATATAATTATTTATTATATAATTATTTTGTTGTGTAATTTTGAACTTATTCTTCTGAATACCTATAATTGTTTTGTCTTTACTATAACTTTGTATTTATACCAAACCAATTTTGTTTTGTCTTGTGTTGTTTGTTTACAAGTGTAATTGAGTTAATTTTAATTTTGCACTATTAATCTTTTGTACACCCATAATTTGTTTTGTCTTGTGCTTTTTGTTTACGAGTGTAATTTAATTAACTCTAACTTTGACTATTAATCTATTGTTACCTATAATTGTTTTGTGTTAACTTTAACTTTGTATTTATACCAAACCAATTTTGTTTTGTTTTGTACTTTTCTTTCGCTACGAAAATGGCAGATGAAAATACTGTATTTTGTGCAACCGTCAGCACTTCGACCGCCGGACAAGGTTGGTAACTTATTCTAGGTTAAGTTGTCGTTAAGTTGGTACGTGTAGTCTTGACCGAACCTAACCTAGTCTGTAATTACAATTAGTAGACAACCGTTGCACAGTGGACTCCGGTCGTGGACGTGGATCGAAGTGGTCATGTGAAGGCGATCAGCCGGCGTCCAAGCGAGTCAGGTAACCCTAAATAGCTGTCAATAAACGTTTTTACCTGAATAAAAATTAGGAAAGTTTTGAAACTTGTCAGACATTTTCTTTATGACTCCTGAATGACCAAAAAAAATTCGCCGAAAGTGTCCGTCATTTTGTTTTTTTTCAATTATCATCAAAAATATTAATTTTACAACAAAAACACTTCTATTCAGCATTATCTCCAATAATTGAACTGTCGGGAAAATTAGTTTTTTGATTTTTCTGTTTTTCACCATGAAATTATTATTTTTACTCACTAATTTTTGCATTAATTATTAGTCATGGGCATCCTTAATTTTTCGAAAGATTTTTTTGGTACTTTGGTTTATTATTTTTGCTTTTTGTAATTTTTAAGGAGATACTGCATTATTTTCTAGTATTATTGTGTATTAAAAACAAAATAAACTTAACAAAATGCAGTATCTCCATAAAGATATTTTTTAGTATAATAATTTAGTAGAATGATAAACACATAATGGTTATAGTTAGTATCCGAAAAATCTCAATAAATGTTTTGGTACATATTGTCGTGTCTGACTAGTACCACGACCATTTCTAGATCAAATATAGTGTACATACTGCAAAGCCGTTTTAGCTACGATTACTTGGTAAATATGCATTATATGCATTGAGAAATTCGATTACTAATAAAATAAACAGTATCTCCATTGTATATACTGCTTTATTCCCTAGGGCATGCTACATAAATGTACATACTGTGTTTTTCCCTAGTATTCGACAATATTTTGGTCAGGACAGGAAGTTATTGTCAGTATTGTAAATCGAGTGAATAAATAAACAGAATATCGTCTATTAACCTTAATAAGATGTTTATAATTTTACAAATAGTAATGGTACGTCGGAAAACGAAAACGAGCGTCTATATGGTTATCGGTTATATGATTACCTGTATGGTTTTCGTCGATCAATCGTTAATCCCAATTGATGAAAATATCATCGATTTCAACGAGTAATCAATTAATATAATTTCCTAGGGGGGAGGGGGGCTGTATAAAATATGGAACCCGTTCAAATACACCTATACACCATTCCCATCCCCTCTCATCCCCTCTTATTTATGAACAGTAACGGCAGTGTCGACGATGTAATTTGCGATGTGTCAACCGAGTCGGCTGAACATGTGCCAAGTGAAGAAACCAATTCTGGGTTTATTATTAACGTACAAAATATTAAACAGGAAGTAATAGACGACGAATATGAAAACGTGTACAACCAGTACTTGAGTCAATGGACTACCGACTCGGAAACCGAAATTACCTGTCCAATTATCAAGCAAGAAGTCATCGACCAAGAATACCACCTGAGCCGGTGGGACGACCGGGTCCCTTTGACCAGTTGGGAGGCGACCTATACGGAATTAACCGATCAGAGAATTAATGAAGACGATGACGAAAAGTATATTCAGTACCTGCGCTGATAAACTACGTTTAAAAATAATTTCACATAAACTACATTGTTGTTTGTGTAATGTATTCTGTTTAATGTTTATAATGTTTTTGTAATGTACCTAATGTATTCTTGTATTCTATGTTTTGTTATGTATTATTTCTTCTATCTTTTCGTACAATATGTGTTGATGTGTATTGTGTACCTAATACTGTGTTATAAAAAATATTTTTTTGTAAATGAATTGTAACTCATGTAATTATTGTACCCGAATTAATAATACTTCATAATTAAAATTGTACGTTGTGTTTACTATATTTGTTTTTACAATGATGGCTTTTAATTTTTTAGCAGCTCTCTGGTACAGAAATCGTACCTGAAATGGTAGCTATATTGGGAAAAAATATATCAAAAAAAAATTACCTCTTCTCCTTCAAAATCGAGAAAAACAATTACATATATTCCAACTTAATTTTTTTTTAAATAGTCGAATTAGTTAGAAATATTTATGGAATATTCTCTAAATACAGTAGATAATACCGATAAACATTGACAAGCCAAACAAAGCTCAGTAAAAATAACAAAAAAGTTTATGTAAAAAAAAAATACATCAGCTAAGAATAAATTGTATACATAAAACATGACATGCGGAGCTGAGAAGGTATTGTTTTTACAATGATGTGTTTTTATTTTTTATTTTTGTGTCTGGACCCACGATATCTCGTAAACCGCTGAACCGATTTCTTCGTGTAGAAACTCTACAGATCAGAAATCATACCTGGAAGGTACTCTATTGGGCAAAAAATTTTAAAAAGTCACCCCTTCCCCATCAAAGTCGAGAAAAACACCCAAAAAATTTACAAATTTTTCAACTTAAAATTACGATGCTCTATAACTTTTTTAAAAATAGTCGAAAATGTTCCAAATTTATATGAATTGTTTTTCAAACATAGTACTATCGATGAACATTAACAAACCAAAAAAATATCATAAACCCTTTCCCTTAGAAGGGATAGATTTTTTTTTTTTTTCACTTTTTCAAGCAAAGTTTTAGGGATTTTGAACTGAAAATAAGACCGAAGGTAGATCTAAAATGGAACTATAACATATACAATTTTCTCAAAAATCTGTAGTCAAATTTTTTTTTTATTAAGGAAAAACCCCAAAAATAGGGTAAATTTACACTTTGGCCGTAGTCAGTTTCTAGGTTGTTATGTGTGTGTGAATCGACAGTCAATAGGTAATGAAAATATCTTGGCAATACATTTTTATAGACAGACGATCAACCCTTATCGTATCTACCCTGCATAAGACTAAATATTAAATTTTAAGTACATTATTGCTAGTCTCACGATATCTTCTAAACCGCTATAACTGGTTTGAACATACTATCCACAGATTCGCATCGAAGCGTTTATTTAAAAGTGATTAATCACTTTCAGTTATAATAAAATCTGTAGACCCGTGACATCTCCGTCCCCACTATGCTCCGGCCCCACTGTACTGGCTTTTTACTAAAACTTAAACGTGTCGTATAAATTGATCTAACACATCAACTTTTGTCAAACTTCTTTAGTTGTTTTAAACCACTACACTACTAAAATAAAATAAATTACATAAAACGTCTTTCTACATAAAGTAGCGTTTTTAAAAAAAAAATGTTGTTATTCGATTACGAGACAACACAAAAACTCAAAGAAGTTAAATGGACAGCGGCGAACCATTACCAAAGCATGGTGAAAGATTAGATAAAATATACTAAATAGGTCTAGTGGGTATGAAAAGGAAAAATTATCGTAGATAGTATAGGTATATATACCTATACTATACCTATGTAGGTATATAGTAGAAACAGGCACAAGATAAAAAAGCACAAACAAACACACACACTTAGTTCCAGACAATCACAGTCTGGAATATACGTTTTTCACCAAATAAACAACAATAATGAGCGTACTTTAAGGTATCGTTGAAGAAGTCGACGACCTAATCATAGTCGACGGTTCTATGACGTCTAACCCTCTGTGTATGGAAATTGTGTCCAAAAATTTTCTTTAACCGATTAATAATCATTATTCATTACATTGATATTTTGTTAGCATTACACAGGTATTAGTTTTTTTGATTGTTTTAGTATAGGAATTGGAACAATTTACCATTTTATTTCTACTAAAAAAAGTATATAATAAAAATATGAATTTATAAAATGGGATTTTATTTGTCCTGATTTCGAACAAAATATTATGTTCTCATTTCTTGAACGTTGGGGTGAAACGTTATTTTTATAGAATGCTAGTGCACACTGCGCACAGACGAATGTACTCATTTTGGCATTTACATTGTGACAATTACCTTTTACCTGTAACTTTTTCGAAATGAATAGATGGATTTGCGATGCTAGTAGTTTGTATGAATGTCATTGCGGTTTGGTTGATCGGCTTATCGTGAACCGCTCAATATCTCACTGGGTTTAATTAATAATTGAATTTTTTTCCCATAATGTTTTTACATACAATGTGATCTCAATCAACCTACCCCCTGCCAACTTAGTTTTTTTGAAAGCAACTTTTGAAACGCATACATTTCATTAACTTTTTTAATTGACAATTATGTACTAAAAATGTTGATTGCATTCACAGTTTCGTAATCAACATTAAAAGAACTATCGATTAAAAAATTAAAAAATTAAAGAAAAGGGTAAACTACATATTTTGTTCCCTAATTCTGTTAGTTCGTTCAAAGGATGCCACGTTGAAAATAATAAAACTCCGAAACATTTTAACTTGCTTCACCTTATTTATTGAGCTTAGTGAGATTTAGTAAAACTATAATTTATTACACTTTGCAGGTATTAATAATCATAATAATAGTAATAGTAATAGTACTTAATAATAATACAACTCAAAATAGGACCGACACGACGGCACTTAAAAACAATAATAATTATAATAAAAATAATAAAAAGATGACATAATATATAGTTTATATCAACATATTATGGTATCATAGGCTAACTAAACAAGTCAAAGCGGGAAGCACCGAAAGATAACAACAAACTTGTAAAACTAAAACGTACATTCTTTTTTTTTTAATACATTTTTTAGTTTTTGAAAACAAGGGTATAGTGTATTGTAAAGTTGCAAACAAACATAATAATCTAACAGCATACGGCCGGTAAACAAGTAGGTAATCAGAGAGGAATTAATTACAATATTATAATCACTAACAAAACGAACCAATAATAATATAATTTACTGCGAATACTAGTCTTAGAACTGAACAAATTCAAATAAATAAAAAAGAAAATCATTAACAAATTTCTTTGTTTCATAACCTAACGAGATTTAGAATATCCGACGGTAGTTCTTTGTACAATATTATTGAAACAACTACCGTATTCATCATTGTTTATATTTCCATACATTTTGTATAAATATTTTGTTTTATAATAATAGTAATAATATATTTTTTTTTAAATATTTTATTGTAAATTCTAAGGAAGTCAATTATTTGTAATATAAATATATTTTTTTTTTTACGTTAAAAATGTCAAGTATACAAACGTTTTTTTATTCTAATTATAACGCTTATTTTTATCTATATGTATAATATACTCGGCCCTTAAATATGTATACTTTCTATTATTTCAATATATTAAACTTTGTTTAAATATTTATTAACGTTTAAAATGTGCGAATCACAATATTATATTATACTAAAGTGCTTTTAAAAAAAATGTTTGTTACAATATAAGTTTTAATTATAGGTACCTACGTGTTAACTGGCTTACAATTAGTGTAATGAGGGTGTTTTGTCTTTAAAAAAAGTAATCAGTTTTAAATGTATTTTATAGGTAATGCACGTTTATCATACACTCATAAAATGCGTGCATCGTATGCATTTAACACATTAAATACAAATAAAAAAAAATGGTTTATATCTTTCTATAGAATACAAAAAAAAAGGTGCGCCGTTAAACATGGGTACTTTTGAAATTAAAAAGAATAATAATAGCAATTAAATGAACTACTTAAAAGTCAATAATCGTGGTCTAATTTTTTACTGAATGGAATTGCCGAACAGAGTTATGGGAATGCTGCCGTGCTTTCAGTACTTCGGTAAGTAGATTACATTATAATATTAAAAAAAAAAAGTTTTTTTTTACATTTTTATCTTTATATACAAAATATCTGTATGCGTTTAACCGTCGGATTTATAGCGATACACAGACAAGCGGTGCAGAAACCAAAACGCGTCACTCTTGTCTGCGCAGGCGCGTACGTTTTCGTTTCTGCGCAGTGCCGTTCTCTCGCGAAACAGACTAAGCACGGCTCGTCTGTATACTTTTTATACAGCAACGGTCATTAATTGTCGTTTATGATTTTTTTAACGTATTGAAATGTATATTTTATATAAAACAAGTACCTCTATATTATTAAGTATTCATTTATGATTTATAATAATATTAGTAAGTATAATTTTTGTACATATTTTCGGATTATTCAGCGGGTATTATTTTTGTTAAGTTTGTCGATGATTTACAAAAATAATTTTGAGATATTTTTGCAAACGGGTGAATCATAGATAATAATAATAATTATATACATGAAGAAATTTTACTTAGATTAATAGTAGATTTTTTGTATAAAACCAATATGAATAATAACCTAGTGGTAATTCAAGGGTAAAACATGTAAAAAGTTAATGAATGCGAAGAGAATGGATACGTGTGATTAAACCCAACACTACGTTTAAGTGCATTTATAAAGTGTAAAAAAATGTAGAAAAAAAATCATTGTGTAAGCTAAAATAAAATAATATATATATATTTTTTAATATTACAACTTAGGATGAACCCTACGCTATATGTATATTGGTGCGATTACAATTAATTTTGTTTTTCTTCGTACAAGAAAAACCGGTGTAGAAAAAAATTACAAAAAAAAACGCTTTCAGCATTAGGATTTGCCTATATGATTTTAAACGACATTAATCGATATTGAGAGATAAAAATCAAACGCATTACCTCCCGTTTCACCTTTTATAAAATTATTATTAATTATTAATTTGTGTTTAGGTGCGAAGCTATTGTCCGGGTATTTTTTAAACAATATAATGTTTTTTAACACATTGATGGTGTTCGATGAGTTATGTGAACGCCAATTCCTTTGGACTTGCTACACATTCGAAACAAAACAGTGGTAGTAGGACGGTAGTTTTAGAATTGATAAACAAGTTCGTTTGGGTATCCAGAAGCGTTGAATATTATTTTCAAATTCAACATTTTCAGGTTACAAATTATTTCAGCAAAAAGCGTTACATCCTTTAAAATTATCGTTTAAGTACATTTTTTTTTTTAGAAAATTATGAATGATCGGTAACCAGTTTTAACAGTTGATTTATTATAACTTTTTTTTTACTTTTAATATTTAAACTTTTTCCTGCAGAGACGTTGCTGCCCACAAGTGGTGCTTGTTGGCAGAAAAAAAAATCAATAATTTTTACTCACAACCAATTTTTGTTTTTTTAATTTACACATTTTAATAACGCGGCTCGTGCCATCGAAACGAGCTGATGTCGCTATTGTTATTTTTATTTAATTAAAACAAAATTGTACAACTTACAAAAAAAATAGCGTGAACGTATTGCACGAACCTGATTGGTGGTATGGTAATTTGGCCGATGACTTTACCGATAATGGGAAGAATTGTTAGAACGAAAGCAAGTACAGTTTTTGTTTTTAAATATTTAAATGAAATTATTTTGGTGGCAAATTCATTTATCATTTTCGGTCACATTTATAAATATGAACTGCTATAAAATGTAGGTATTATTCGTTTGCGTGATAATTATGATTTTATGTCAGTTAACCGTTTATGTTATTATGTCGTGTTAGTCGGCAACTACAATGTTAATACAGGAATACCGCTATGGTTACCTACGTATTATTTCGGAAGACCCTGCAGATGTTAAAATCCTGTCTAGATTTACACAGCGAATATAATAATTATAATAATATTAATGGTATAATAAAACGTGTAGGTACACAGACTACTATACTCTGTCTCGCGAGAGAACGGCACGGCGCAGAGTCCAAAAAGCGTCGCCCTCGTATGCGCCTGCGCAGACAAAAGTAGACGGGAGCAACGCGTTTTGGTTTCTGCGCAGCACCGTTCTCTGTTCAGCCAGAATATACACATATTATGTTAATATTATCTATATCTTATTATATGTATGAAAATGTTAAATTGTATGTATTCTTCGTATTGAGCTCTTACTAAACCTAGATAAAAATTGTAATTGTTTATAGGTGTCCGTTTTGCTTTCATTCCAGATGATTGCCTCCACTCTCAATCGGCCTCGAGGAGCACCAGATCATCGGCTACCACGTCGCTGATGTGCAAGTATATGATCCAGTACATGAGGTTGAAACACACGAAGCACACGGGAAACACGATCCTGGAGTATTTGTCGATATCGCTGGGCGTGATACCGTACAGCTTGTTGATGTCCTTGCTGGGGTGCATCACGTGCTGCGGTGGCAGCGGAACCAAGTTGTCGTCGTCTCCCCGGCCGTTGATGGTGTTCTCCAGCGAACCGCCTTTTAAATAGTTTTTGGGATCGTGAGCCTTGAACCGCACCTCCTAGATCAAACGGGATCACTTACAAGAGGCACCGCGAAAACTGGGTCGTGTTATACAAAGGACAACGTGAGGATCAACACTAGGTGAGTTTTAGAGAAAATCTCAATTAAACTTGTTCTATTCACGTGTAACGATAAGCGAATTTGGTCTTTTCTTGGTCTTACTGCAAGACCGAGACTGCATGGCCAATTGCGCTCATTGCTATTCACATAACTTGAGGTTATTCTCAAATCACAGTCATTCTAAAGAGGCTATATGCACTGGATTTCATGAAACTGTAATGTTTTAGCTTGTAGTTGTACGAAACCCAACTAAAAATGTGCATTTAAAACAAGCTTTTTTCGTAGTCAACGGCAATCCAATGGCCGAGTTGTAGATTTACTAGATGTGGGACATTTTAATCGAGGCTTATCGCTCTAATTCATAAATTCTAGATAAACAAAATTATTTGAACACCTGGTACGACATGACAAACTTTAAAATATGATTTTAGAAGAAAAGGTTTTAAACAAAATAGCCAGAAATCTATTCTCAATAGCATTATGTCACACACTAGTTGTACATCGAATTACAAGACACGTTTAGCTTTAACTATAAAGACAAGGCATAGCTTTTAGAGAAAGAGAGAGAATCACTCTAATCGATATGTGTGATTTTATAACTATCTGAGACGCTTACGGTTTGTCTGGGCGCATGATCCATATCGCCGGCCAAAAGCGAACTAGGCAGCGTGCCGCCGTGCCCGCCATGGCTGTGCCGGTGGGTATCGTAATGACCGGACAGCGTGCTGTGTGGAGTCAAGCCGTGGCCTCCGTGCGACAGCGTGCCGTGGCCGGATAAGGTGCCGTGGCCGGACAGGGTGCCGTGGCCGGATATGGATCCGTGGCCGTGGTGATGGGAATGATGGGAGTGACCGTGAGAATGAATGTCGTGGCCGCCCTTTTTCTGTTCGGCTATTTTTTGTATGGCCATGAAACGGTTTTTTCTCATCTGTATCCTTTTGGCCATGTAACCAACCGTGGCGTATTCTGTAATCAACGACAAAACAAAAAGCCCAATGAAGAATAGAGGTAGAGCTTTTCATGTGAATCTTTATTCAACCGTCGACAATAATTACCGAGTAGCGATGCGAAGACCATGACGAAACAGGTGCCCAAGTACACGTCAATGGACTTAACGTAGGAGATCTTGGGCAACGCGGCGTTGGTGGAAGACATGAGCGTTGTCATTGTCAACACGGTGGTCACACCCAACGCCACTCGAGCCGGGGTTGCATTCCTGTTCAGCCAGAAACTCACCCAAGATATGATGACGATCAGTCCACTGGGTATGTAGATTTGGATGAGATAGTAGCCCATTGATCTGACAAACTGGATTTCACACGCCAATCTCGAATAGTTACCTTTAAGCGGAAACGAACGTGGTTACGGTTAGCTTGCATTGAACTCTATTATGGGGTTGGTGGTTGGGAAAGAGAAAAAAATAATCCCACCGCTAAACGACGGCGGATCTATTAAGTTTAGCTAATTTGTAATGGGAAAACTGAGGAATAAAACGATGTATTATTATTATTATGTGGAACACACAAAAAAAACGAGTTAACTAAAATTATACTATTATAACTGAGATAAGATGTATTTATACTTGCGTTTCGAGGACTTGTTTTTTCACTCTTAAAACGTTACCTGTTGTCAAGCTAATTTCCATAGCCCTCTGACGATGACCCAGCACTTTAAACTGGGGCAAAGACACTTCATTGGAGACGCCCACCGAGTTTGGTCCCTCATTCCACTTATACCGGATGTCTCTCATCGTATAACCAACTAGGGAATAGACAAACACACCCCCGCATTTAAAAATCCCGTTCCATTACACCTCAGACCCACCCATCACGTTTCGGGGACCGTTTCCATATGGTTCTGTGTTAAATTTAAATTGGATTACAGACATGAGGTTTTTTTTTTAAATTGTTTATTGCGTAGATACACATTTGACGTTTCGTTTTAATTTTGTGATGGTTAGGTCGTGCCAATCTACCTGTAGATAGGTTAATTTCGATGGCCCTCTGCCTGTGCCCGAGCACCCGGAACTGCGGCAACTGCACCTCGTTGCTAATGCCGACCGATTTAAAACCGGAATTCCATTTGTACCGGATATCACGCGTTGTGTAACCGACTGTGAAAACGTGACAACAAAAATCAGTACAGAAGGTTACGCGTCACTCAAAGTCGTCGCAAAGAAGTAAAAGTGTGACGCGAAAGTTTACAAGAAGTAATTCATAAATGTCTATTAAGCGTCGTAGTGTGCGTGTAATGTTGTTGTTTTTCTTTTTAACTTTTAGGTGCAGTTTTAAAAAGTTTTTTATGTGCATGTCGAGTGTGTATATGTGTTTACTTAACGACAAAAGTTCAAAATAACAATAATAGAATATTATATTGATGAACGGTTCGCGTTGCCGGTGAGTACAATAATCGTGCTGCGTAGGCCAGGTCCTTCTGCTCGGCACGTGGCTCAGTGCTGTTCACAGTAAGAAGGACACCGAAATCAACAAGATAATAAAATATATCAAACGTACAGACAGATTTGTTTATTTTGACTGCCATTATTTTGTATAAATTGGTCAATAAACGTTGATATATTTAAGAAAGAACGGCGTTTAATAAGGCGCGTTACGGTTATACTTACAGCTTTCTATTTCTATGTGACACAGTTGACGGTCCATCGGGAAGTACTGTAGGTTCATCGGACAAGAGGCGGTTATGGTCAATCTGCAAACGAGAACCCCCAACGACGGTGTAATTATAATGTTGTTATTGTATTTTCCAAAGGGTCATTAGTTTAAGGTTTCAAGCCTCGTGTAATCCGAGCTCTCCGCCGAAAATGCGACGACGGCCATTGGACAGACAACAACAACAATGAGAACGGTGTTTTGTTAATAATAGTTATGGCAATTGTCACAATGGTCGTCGACGACGTCTCGTAAAGGGTAGTGAAGGGGCGAAGAGGGTGAAGAGGGCTCTTTATGACAAGATTAAATTACCGAATGCTCCGAGTGATGCTGCCCGAATGGTGTATCCTTATAAATTCGTTGCTCGTGGTGGCTATGTGAAAGTATGACTGTTTCTCGTTGACAAAGAACGTGTCGGGCACCCAGATGTTCTTAATGAATTCCGATCCCACGGACAGCGTCTCGACCCCCGGCCGTTTGGTGAAGCCCAGCCGCGGATCCGTCCAAAACTGTCTGAAGTAAAAGTCCAGCGTGAAGTCCTGTTTGTAAAGGTTTTAGAAAAAAAAACAACGTTATAGCTATATTATGTGTTGATGTAAGACTTTAGACTAGACAAAGTGCCCGCTTCGACGGCCTCGCGAATCTACATACAATCTAGTATGTATAATAATATGTAAATTCGGCGAGTCGTCTAGACGTTCTTTGAGTGTACCGCGGGTGATCAAAACTAAACCCAAGACACTAATTTTCTTTGAAATTAATTTGCCATTTTCTTGTTTTACATACTAACATAAATAATAGTATACTATGTATTTTCTGGTTGTGATCACCGGAGAAAATCAGTGTCTTACCTTCGGCAAGACCACCCTGTACAGACCGGTTCAGAAAGCTCGTCGAGAACAGTTATTTTTGCTTCCTCCCGCCCCCCCCAAATCAACTTGCGACGATCTAGCGCATTGGCTTGGTTAGGTAGGAGAGGGTATTTGACATTTTTAAGATAATCTAAACGAGTTGAGCGATCTGAAACGGCCCGAGTTTATTTTCTATTTATCTATTGTATTAAAAAAAATACTATACAAATCTCTCGTGAGAAATTGTTTTTTTTTTGTAATGAAAAATAAAATATATAATAACAAACTAGATTTAATATTAAAAATTAAAAATGAATTGATTTATTCTGAGCGTAGTACCATATATTATGTTCAATATGATATCGTAAGAAACATAATAACAGCAGTAATAATAATAATAATAATATAATAGCTGGGTAAAATAAATGAAAATGTCGCGTGCATGCAGCAGGCTCAAGTCAAAAGCCAAGGTCTTAACGTGCGTTCGAGCAAAATCCTTTTGATGGGATTTACCGTTCTAAGACACTACGGTAATAGTACAACCCAGGCCGGAGCTATATATTATGTATTTTTCGTTTTGCGTGACATGCAACGCGCTTAAATACAAAATAACATGCAGTGAACATGCGACTTTTAATAATATTTCCTTCATGCACCGCTTGTCGACTAGAACTTGACGTCGGTTGTCTATAAAAAAAACGCGAATGGCGTGAACACGTTTATCTATAATATGAACAGCTGTTGTAATAGTTTATACAATATAATAATTATTGTTGAGTTTTACGCCAGTTAGCTGTCGTCTTACTATATCGGTTCGAAACAACCGTCGTCTATTCGATATTAATAATAATAATTAAAAATCTATGATTTGACGACATTTTTATTGTTTTACTATCACAAAATAGCCAGCGTAAATTCTTGGACCATTTTGGCAATTTTTGATGATTTCGTGTTCACACGTATCGTTTTTAATGAACTCGTCTACAGTGAACCGTGTAGCCCAGCTTAAAAGAGTATAAAACGACCATATTTCGATATAATATTATGTCATTTTACCGCAAAAGCAATGGCTATCGATAATAGTAATCATTCAGGTGCAACAACATAACGTAGTCCACGACGCCAACCGTCGTTTCCACAGTCAAAACACACTTTTTTTTTCTATTACGTAAAAGTATAATATTTTCTTAGACAAACGATATCATCTAATGTACAATACTCTAGTTTACAATAAAATTGAATATGATATTATAATATATTGTATTGTCGTGGCAATTTCGGCCGCTTCCGATACCGTTAAATCATTTTTTTCCTGTGGCGTAACAATAGCTTTACTAATATGTGTTTTAATGGATTTAATCTTGTTGTAAGAAAAATTGTTCACGATGAAACACAATACAGATGACCCGGAAAAATTTGATTAATACACATTAGCTTTGGACATTTTTGGAGTTTACAAAAACCGAAATAAACACAGTATTAGTAGTCGTTAGCTACCGTTGTCGTTTGTGCTGGACGACCTTTGCACTAAAATAACGGTCTATTTTATTTTCGGAAGGTCTCGGTTAAAGAAGAAAAAAAAATAGTCAAAAGTAATGGAACTGCTCTTTTCTCCTTTGGCGTTACACTCTGGCGGTTATTTTGGCTTGTTACCCGTATATAATATACACACTGCGGCAAAGGTCGTAGCACGATAACTTTGTTTAAAATACATACACACACACACGACTTGTACAACATAATACTTAGATTAAGTTTGTGTGTGTGTGTGTTTGCCCGTTTCCGGGTTAACCAATTATGCGCTCTGAAGAGCACACACACATGACTTATTTAGGGATGAAAAGCCTCTGTACGTCGGTCGGTTAGAACTTTTCTTCGGGCTTTCCTTTTGATGAAGAAGTCTTGGCTAAACGTGTTAAACACCATCTCCTCGACAAACACACGACCGCCCCTTCCGGCTCGTGTAGGTACTACTATATTATATCGTTGAAATTAATTATCTGCAATAGTCCTTTTTCCATACAGAGTGTTACCGGATAAAACGCTAATACTTCAAAGTTGAATTCAGGACATCAGCGCTAACAACTACGCTGTTATTATTTTTCCATTGAGATTTAAAATTGCTAAATTGTTAACAAACGACGTTATCGTGAAAGCGTAAAAGGAGAATCAATTGCACATATCTCTTATTACATTTTTGTATATTAAAATCTTATCACTGCATTTTATTCCAATCCATGTCATTTTAATTCTTTGACACAAATGCGCATACGATAATATAGTTGTGTCTTACTTTTATCAGTAACGTTAATTCGATTCCTAGCTGATTTTATTTTTGCTAAATTTATTTGTCGAATGTTCAATGTGTAAAACGCATTTTGTAGTCCAAGAATTTGAAATTAAACTTCAAATTAGAAAAAATTAGCTTTTGGTGTGTTAATTTTATTTTTAGGTTTTTTCCATCGCATTAACAGAATTGTATTGTAGAATTTCAAATTGTTTTAATTTTGTTATATTAGTATAATAGTGTAAGCATAATTCACAATGATTTTACACTACAAAACTTCAATATACAAAAATATACATTTATGTTGGATTGCATTATTTCACGAACGATAACTCATTAATAATTATTTATTTTTTATTTTTTTAAAGTCCTGTATTCATTTTGAAAATGTCATTCGATTCGGAAACACTGTGTATATTATGTACCGACTTCTGAGTGGGAGAACGTAGTGGTTAAAAATACAAAAAACAAAACAAAAATAATATAATATAAATAACAATAATAAAACAACATCGAAACACCAAAAACTATTTATCTCACTACGTCGCAAAAGTATAAAGTATTTCACACAGTTTCACGCCTTCAAACGGTTTTGTCGTAAAAGATTATTGCCGTTTTTCAGAGACTTAGATACAACATATATTGTATTATAATAAATTCAATAGGCGATTCGAAATTGAGCGGACGGTAAGTGAAATGAACCACGATCCTCAACATCCAATCTTTGGTAACGTGAAAATAAATGTTTATATCTGTACCGGAGTTTACTGAATTCTTTAAAGCTGCTACCCATTACATCTTAAAGGCTTATATATGTACAATATGTGTGTCAAATTTTTAGTGTAACCGGATGATCTTGACTGATGTTTGGACTTATACATATAAAGTGGCTTAGGTTAAGATTTCGTCGTCAATTTCGAATCGCCTCATTCGACAAGTGGGTAAAAGGCAGGGTTTCTTCACGCCTCGGATTTTCGGGGAACACTCAAAAATGCAAACGGACGCTGGACCAACCGGCACTCCCTAGCGATGGCGAGGATATGAATAATTTGGCGTTTGTAGCCAATGCAGATGTTTAATCACACATAACATAATAATATGCTTCGAGTATAGATGTTTCCGGAATTTTTTAGAAAAATAGTGACTCTATGGCAAGGAGGGTCGCAAACAAGTGAAATATTATGAAGTAAGAAAAAAGGCTAACCGCAGTGTGACCAGAACGACGATTTTAAATTTCTCTGGTACATATTTTGAATTTTAGTTGACTACTGCAACCACGTGGTACAAAACATATTATGACTAAACAGTTATAATATATTATCATAGTATCGTGGGAAATTCAAATTCATCTATTGATTTGTATAGTTGTGCAGTGTTTGACAAGTTATACAAAAAGTATTTATTTTTATTCGAATTGGTCACACTGTCGATCGCCTTCTGGATTGCTTCGTTGCCGAGTACAGTACTATTTATATATTTTTACATGGTGTTGCATTGTTTGTAAAAAAAACGATATAAACGTTACACGGTTTTATGAAGTGAATATAAATCAACAGTTATTGGTGATAAACATTTTTTTAAGAGGATTGAAAGCGATTTGATTTTTTTTTAATTTACTTTAGAATTTAGACCAAAAAATTTGAATTTTGACTAGCTTAAGTCACACAATTTTGTCACGACGAAAGCACTGTTTACCGTCAAAATGGCTTTTAATCACGGAAGACGTTGAACATACTATTACCTAGAAGCTTATATAAATTAAACCTGAAAACATAAATTGACATTTATTGAAACCGCTTTTTTCTTATATATTATTGTCTTTTCATATACCAGTAAATTTTTAGGAATGCGGCTGTAATGTCGGGGAGTGGCACCGGTTGGCAAAGCAACGGATTTGCATGCAGGGAACGTCATTTAGTTCCTTTATAATATTAATATTATCATCAAAACGCAACACATAATAATAATGATAATAATATGTTTGCGGTAGGTATATGGTTCAATTGAAAAATCCAAAACGCTTTTTTAAATTTTTTTATTGGATTACAAACAAATATTAGATTTTGAAACGAAGAAGCAGTATAAAGCGTCGGTACCGTTATGGACGAATTTTGATAAAACGCAGCTTAAAAAAAAACATAACAAAAACGAAAAGACAAATTATCGAACACTATAGTGAAAAGAAAATATGGCATATAATTATTTGTAATTATATGTAACTGAAGTATAGTATGTTATCATTGTTAATAATTATATTGATATTTAGTTTTGTGTACCATTAGTACTTCGGATACGGAGCTTATACTGAGAACATACATGGTGACTCCAACCTCTACTGGGGGCCCTGCAATAATATTAGGTAACATTTAAATACTACATTATTATAGTTACAGTTTATTAT